AATTTGTGAAATTAGCAGCCTGGCAGCCTAAAGAAAACTAAGGAAAATACAAACATGTAAACCGTCGGAAATGAGTCGATAGCACATACTTAGACTATTCCACGTCTTTTTTCGGTATCGCGAACTTTATTATTTTAAATATTGAACTTTGTTTTTTTTTTGACTCTTCGAAATTTGTGAAGTTAGCAGCCTAGCAGCCTAGCAGCCTAGCAGCCTGGCAGCCTAGCAGCCTAGCAGCCTGGCAGCCTAGCAGCCTAAAGAAAACTAAGAACAATACAAACATGTAAAAGTCGGAAATGAGTCGGTAGCACATACTTAGACTATTCCACGTCTTTTTTCAGTATCGCGAACTTTATTTTTTTTAATATTGAACTTTGTTTTTTTTTGTTTTTTTTTTTACACTTCGAAATTTGTGAAGTTAGCAGCCTAGCAGCCTGGCAGCCTAGCAGCCTAGCAGCCTGGCAGCCTAGCAGCCTAAAGAAAACTAAGGACAATACAAACATGTAAACCGTCGGAAATTAGTCGGTAGCACATACTTAGACTATTCCACGTCTTTTTTCAGTATCGCGAACTTTATTTTTTTTAAATATTGAACTTTGTTTTTTTTTTACTCTTCGAAATTTGTGAAGTTAGCAGCCTAGCAGCCTGGCAGCCTAGCAGCCTAAAGAAAACTAAGGATAATACAAACGAAATGAGTCGATAGCACATACTTAGATGTTTAGACCATTCCACGTTTTATTTCAGTATCGCGATCTTTATTTTTAAATATTGAATTTTATTTTATTTTTCATTCTGACGCTTCGAAATTTGGGGATTAAACATGTTTTTTGGAATAACGTAGGAAGTAGTCTTAATCTTAACATTTTCGCGCCTAATAATGTCGCTGTCTATGGACAATAAGCGACGTCATGTGACTTATTTATGATATGCTATTTTGTATGTATATGTTTATAATGAAGTTGACGATGTTCAACGCATATTTATTTTAGGCCTGTAAAGATAAATCGGTTGAAATGTAAAGAGATATACAATGCATATGTTTAAACGAACACATTAATGAACATAAAGATTATCTGAACTTAAGAACAATACCCATTTGATCAATAGCCGCGATACTGAAAAAAGACGTGGAATAGTCTAAGTATGTGCTACCGACTAATTTCCGACGGTTTTCATGTTTGTATTATCCTTTGGTTTTCTTTAGGCTGCTAGGCTGCTAGGCTGCCAGGCTGCTAGGCTGCTAACTTCACAAATTTCGAAGAGTAAAAAAAACAAAGTTCAATATTAAAAAAAAAATAAAGTTCGCGATACTGAAAAAAGACGTAGAATAGTCTAAGAATGTGCTACCGACTCATTTCCGACTTTTACATGTTTGTATTGTCCTAAGTTTTCTTTAGGCTGCTAGGCTGCCAGGCTGCCAGGCTGCTAGGCTGCCAGGCTGCTAGGCTGCTAACTTCACAAATTTCGAAGTGTAAAAAAACCCCAAAAAAACAAAATTCAATATTTAAAAAAATAAAGGTCGCGATACTGAAAAAAGACGTGGAATTGTCTAAGTATGTGCTACCGACTCATTTCCGACGGTTTACATGTTTGTATTTTCCTTAGTTTTCTTTAGGCTGCTAGGCTGCTAGGCTGCTAGGCTGCCAGGCTGCTAGGCTGCCAGGCTGCTAGGCTGCTAGGCTGCTAACTTCACAAATTTCGAAGCGTCAAAATAAAAAAAAAACAAAGTTCAATATTTAAAAAAATAAAGATCGCGATACTGAAATAAGACGTGCAATGGTCTAAGTATGTGCTTCCGATTCATATCCGACGATTTCATGTTTGTACTATTCTTAGTTTTCTTTAGGCTGCTAGGCTGCCAGGCTGCTAGGCTGCTAGGCTGCCAGGCTGCTAGGCTGCTAGGCTGCCAACTTCAGGCTGCTGGGCTGCTAGGCTGCTGGGCTGCTAGGCTGCTAGGTGGCCAAGTTCACGAACTTTACTTAGTACCGGTGTATCAAGAGCTGTAACTCATACCGGTAAATCAAAGACTAAAAATCAAGGATTGTAACTCAAACCGGCATATCAAGGACTTAACAAATACCGGTATATTAAAGGCTGTGTAATTCAAGGACTGTAACAAATACCGGTATAGCAAGGGCTGTAACTCAAGGACAGTAATTCAAACCGGTATATCAAAAGTAGTCTGTAACTCAAGGACTGTAACAAATACCGGTATATCAAGGGCTGTAACTCATACCGGTATAGCAAGGGCTGTAACTCAAGGACAGTAATTCATACTGGTATATCAAAGGCAGACTGTAACTCAAGGACTGTAACAAATACCGGTATATCAAAGGCTGTAAATCAAGGACAGTAACTCATACCGGTAAATCAAAGGCTGTAAATCAAGTACTGTAACTCATACCGGTATATCAAGGACTGTAACAAATACCGGTATAGCAAGGGCTGTAACTCATACTGGTATATCAAAGGATGTTACTCCTATAACATGAAGGAGTTACAAACGTTTAATATCAGAACCTCGGTATGTACTTAAGGATTAAATAAAGAGATCACCAAACAGTGCCGCCAACTGTGATGACAGGTCTATTTCAATAGTGTTATCAGGCTAGTCGGCACATTATTGCTAGTATGACGGTTCAAATATTTGATATGCTTGGTGAAATCATTCATGTTCGATGTTAGGTCTCTCTTTATTTAGGTCAGCGACATGTATGTTCTTGGCAATTCTTTCTCCATTAATGCGTTAGGTATTCTGTGTGGAGAAAATGGTACTAGCATTAACTTCGGGTCGAATGTTGTGCAAAGAATCTACGCTCGTATTTTAATTGGCTGTCGGTTGCTAATTGGCCAAACAAAATAACAACTAACCAATGATAAATCTCGTACTTTACTCCAATTCTTTATTTTCATGTGGAAAGAGTGGAATGTAGTGACAGCTGTCTCGTGACATTGAGTCATAGATGTACATGTATTAAATTTTGGTATAAAAATAAATTTACGTATCATGTACGGCAAATCTCATGTAAGATGTGACATCATTTTAACATACAGCAATGTAGATTATCTAATAACCGGAAGTTGCTGTATGTGGCGTCAGTAAAGTTAAGAGGGCGTCAGGAAAGGTAACTGGTCACATTTCTTCTGAAAGTCAATCACAAAAATATTGAATTATTTCTAGAATTACTTAAAAACTGCTCGCATAATGGAATGTCATGCCCATTCGTTTAAGAATGAAAAACTCATTGTACTACCTTTAGCCTATCAGAACAGCTCGCCGATTTCCAATAGTCCTTCGCTTAATATGACGGAAAAAGCCGAAAAGTTGCGGCTGACTCTACGAGTAATTATAATTCCAGGCTCAATCGGGAGATCTCTATGATTTTTCTTAATACTAACGGAAAGAGCAGAAATGTTGAGATTGTCTTCTAATTGCAATATTGGTCACAAACCAAAGCATTCTCGATGGCAAGTTTAGAAAAGTAATGGATCCTTGTCAATATCAACTTTAGAGTAGCAGACGGCCGGAACCGAAAGTAATTAGCTTAGAGCAAGGCAAGCTTGACATCCATCCAGTCATGGTATCAGAATCATTTTGCAATGGACCGCTAGCAAGACACACTGGACCTTCAACTATATACGCCATAAACCTTTGACAAGACTATTCCGGCTTAAGCAGACGGTTTGTATACCTTTTCACAGAGGAACTCCCTCTCTTTTGTTTCCAAGACGTTCAGCAGCATACCATTACGGCGTTTTGTTTCCGTTATTCTTTAAGCCATGGATTTGATATTCTACAAACACTAAATAAACATTTACGTTTGATTTATTTGCATTTGAAGAAGAATGGAATGCCGGCCAGTGTGAATTTATGTTGTCTTTAGCATAAGTGTGTCAAAACTCTTGCTCTGATTTAGTAGAGATGGTAGTCAACTGGTCATTGTCATACAGGTGGTATTTGGATAAAATAAGTCTTATTATAATGAATGCTATAAAAATATTACAATGTTCATGCATATACAGTATGAATAAGTCATAAAGAAATTGTCAGATCGTTGAAATTGACTAGTCTGTAATGACTTGTAAAACCTTAAACCGTAGATAACATATTTACTGATGGACTTTCAGACAAAGAATTGCAACACGGCATTAAATTTATGCATGGTTTCGGCGTGGGAAGAGGAAAAAAATTCTGCAAAAATTCTGTAATCTCGTTTCAATGATTTCACATTCTTCGCGACTTTTCATGCTGCCATTTAAAAGGATCAACTAAGAACGTGACTAAATGACCAAAGTAGGACTGTAATATTAATCTCCGCTCCTAAAATGGCTAACCCTTCACAAACCAACATGCAACCGGAACTGACGTGTTTATGCCACCAGTAAAGAGCCAAGCCAGCACATCCATTTAGTCTGGCTTATTAACTCCATTTTATATAATGTTATTGAATTGCCCTTAAAACTCGAATGAACTGATCCAAGTTCAAAGTAGCGCAAAACCATTACGTTCAGGGTAAAAGTAAAGACAGAAAAGTTTATGTTCATATCAAGATATTTTATTGTACACATACATGAATACTAAGTCAATGTTAATGGATTTAGACGAACATTACAAGTGTGTGATCTACAGACAAGAATTAAAGGAAAGAAAAAAATCCAAAAATTCCACACGATTCAGTACAGTGAGGATTTGCAAACAGAATCAAAAAAAGCATTTGAAAAAAGATCCAAAAAAAAATTAAACATTGCATATAATCTAACTACCACAACAGTTTATATAGCTTTACATGGAAAATGAGTGTTTCCCCCATGTAAAAAAAACCGACATGGAATGAAATAATGTACCATGTTTACATGGAATGAATGTGTGTTGTGTTTTTGTTTCCATGTAAATATTTCTTGTGTTTTTTACATGGAATGAAAAAAAATGAACATGGTTTTTACATTAAATGATTGTTGCTCCATGCTCCATGTAGAAATGTTTTTTTTTTAACATGGAACTGATAAAATGACATGTAATTTTTTTTCTTTCTTCCAAATTAGATGTGAATGTATAATGGATTTCTGATAAAAAATAAAACTAAACACACATTATGGGTCATTTACAAAATGTTTTACCATTTATCATTTAGGTAATAATGTTATCAATAACACTGAATTAATGCACATTGCTTCATGTACAAAAGCCCCACAAAATAAAAATATTACATAATCATTCAAATTACTAATAACCCTGCATTCGGGGATTTCGGTTATTATTTTCCCATCATCTCATATAATAACCGATTGGAGCATCGTGGAGAAAAAAAAATGTTCATTTGAAATAAAATTACATAAACAGCGCTAAATTTACCCTTAGTGCATCTAACAAGAAAAATATATTTCATAAAATAATCAACACTGTTCTACTAAATTTAAGTCCAAATGCACTAGGCATTTGGTTTTCTTTAAAACAAAAATTCAAAAAGAAACCGTGTTGATACCTTCACAAATCAACACTATTTCTGTTGCAACTTACTTCACTTTTTAGTTTTTAGTAAAATGGATTAGTCTTAAATTTCAGCACACTATTTACTAAAATATATGTAAAAAATATTGTACAATACAAAACAAAAGTCACCCAACAACAAGTTACGGTAAGTAAGGCTTTATTCCACAAGATCTTTCAACTAAACATCCCTATCTCTTAAACACAATCTACATTTATTTTTAAAAATTCAAATGTTATTATAAAACAGATTTTTATGAAAATTTGTGTACAACAAATAATGCTTGTTCAAAATGAGCAACAAAGACTTATTATTTTGTCTGTTAATGTATCTAAATATAGTTATTTATCTAAATATAGTTATTTGAACTCTCAAATTGTGCAAAGATTCAGTCTACCATAAATACTCATTTATAAGTCAGGTTATTTCACATCCCAACAAACTCTAGAATTAATGCGCCCGTCTTATACACGGGTTTATGTATTTTTTTCTTTAACCAGAATAATCTTCTCTTAAATTGGATATATTTAATATAGTATAATATATATAAATACATAAATGCTGCACATCCGATTTATTCAACATGTGTTAACAGCACAGGGAGGCTTATTTCAGAGATCTTTCATCTAGTTTACTAAGTTAGTTGTACATCAAAAACTATAAACCTTACATGTCTATTCCCCATATTTCATTACACACATCACTTGTACACAAACAAAAAATCATTTACACATAAATAAATATTGCACAAAAAATGGACAGTCTCTTTTAAAGTTTTGTCTTTGTGAAAATGATGTAAAATTCACAGCCTAAAACTTGTGGCAACATTTTAATATGTGCGTGTGTGTGTGTGTTTTTACAACTTAAAGATCCAGAATCGTACAACACTCACTGTGTATAATCTAATGTCCACAAGTTTTAGCCTGCATTTCTACCCATCATTTCCGTGAGCCTATTTCAAAACTTGGAGTTTCCTCCCAAGTTTCGACAGTTGACTAGTTTTCACACGGCAACAAAAACTATGGTGATCACATGCATTTGAAGTTTTTTTTCTGTCTTGAGAATGTCCAAGTATTGGTCCCAGGCCTAATATTGGTCCCTTACATAACACAAAACATAGTCCAGTAAAAACTTCCACAAATATCCTTATTTTTGGCTGTTTACCAATAAAAGAATTTTTTTCCCTCAAATCAAGTAAAACAAGTAGTTATATATTTCAACTATTTTAAATCTTTCCAATCAAAGTCAAGTTTTGTTGTTTTTTAAAATTTCTTTTCCATAAATTTTCAAAAACGCCACAAAAGATAAATTAATGTCATTATACTGGAGTAAACCATCACTATGTTCAACTACAAAAAATAATATAACACCTTGAGACCAGCATCATTGTTCATACACGGCCAATCATCTCCCTGGAGCAATTTGCCATTGATTAATAATTTGTTCCTCAAAAACAAGTCAAAAATATGTAAATAAATAAATTAATTCAATAATAAATATATCATTAATAAACAAAAAAAGAAAGAAAAGGAAATACCTCAGAATAATAAAATCATGTCTCGCAATTTTCAATTATATAAATCATAGGTAATGTATCAATATTAAGCCTAAATTTTATTCAAAATTAAAAATCAAAACAAAAACCATCTAATAAAATTGATTTCATCTTAAACAGTATGTCATGGAATAATTTTGGATGGTCATTTTTTTTTGTGGTCAAAATCTAAATAGCTGTTATATTCACTGCATCAGATATAGTAAACATCAAAATCGGTCAAATAAGCAATACCAGAAAGTTACGAGACATAGTTTTACAGTCAACAGATCCGTTACGAATAAAAAGCAATGATACGTACATGGTAAATGACATACGAAAAAAAAATGGCGAACAAAAAGCTACTGTAACAATGAACAAAACAAAAAAATATACTAAACAAAAAAATGTCATTAAAAATATTAAAGGCCGGATTCATGATTCAGATCTGTACAGAACAATACTTTAATAGTCATAAACTAGGTCATTAGCTTCTGGAAATACATACATAATAATACTGAATTAGTGACTTACGAAAAATATTCTCATCTAAAAACCGTATCTTACAGGTATTACATGTTTCCTAGTCAACACTTAGTCACTGAACAAGCATTTGCAACAAAATTTGAATTTAAACCATTTAAATATTATGCTTACTATATCAATATAGCATTACTAACTTATCCAGTATCGTATTGCTTTTCATGGATAAATGTCACTTTCAAATACTGCGCAAAATTCACTGTCTACTTAACAAAACTAACAATCCTTTTTTTCTTACCAGTAAAACAGAATATGCAAAATAATATTAGTGAATACAAAAGTTTTATGTTTCAGAAACTATTATTTTTTCCTGCCCATTGTATTTCCTATGTATATATTTCCATAGCAACAGACCTTCACTGGGGGGGATATATAAGCAAACATATTATTATAATACTTATACATAATAAAACTTAAAAAGGCAAAACCTGCACATTTCAACTTGATTGTTCATTATAGGTAAAATAAACCATGCACACAAAATAACACATTGAATAGGAGAAAAATTTAGACATGGATTTCACATGATTTGCTGTCATGACTTCAATAAAGTTCCTAAAATAGGTATAAATTATGTAATAAAGTTGTAAATTCCATTTCAAGAGACCCTCTAAGCTAGTTACTAATTCAATACTGATCTTGAATCCTGGAATCTGATTGGATGATACTAAATAACAACCAGAATCTGATTGGGTGATAGTAACAACCACCAGGAATCTGATTGGATGATACCAATGAACATCCAGAATCTGATTGGATGAAACTTAAAACCACATTTTATACTGACCCAAAAGATTTTTCATGTCAAAAACTGGTCTCTCAAATATCTAATATGTAACCTAGGACACAATATGTGATCAAATGTTAAAACAGTCTTTTTGGATGAACAGTACATGTATAAAACTTTTAATTTATTATGCCTTTTGTATAAAGCGATGTGTAAAATATTTCAGCAAAAAAAATATGTGTAAGAATCTTGTCAAAATATTTATTGCAAATAGCCTTGGTTTCGTTTTTGCACAAAAATAACCCTCAACAATTATAACTACGCTATAATATTATGATATCATGAACCATTCTATATCTAGTGATCATGAAAAAGGCATTCTGTCGTGAAAATAACATCTTTTTTTAAGCTACAAAACATTTCTTCTTCAACTAAAATCCTCTATAATGTATAACATGCCAAATTTTCAACACAAAATACCCTTTTAAACTATAATAGACTTTTCCAAAGTTAAATATAAGGAATATTCCATTACAGGTTTGCAGGGGAGAGGGGGAGGGGGGAATAAGACTGGAATATGATATATACAAAAACAAGCCATTTACGTCTCTGAATTTCAGAGAAAACTCCAAGACCTTATGTATAAAAAAAAAAACGACACAAAAAAATTCATCATATACTGATATGCCTTGGGGGGTTTGATAACAAAATAATTTAAATTTCATTAATAATAAGAATAATTATAATAATAATAATAAAACTCAGCACAAAACTAGTTTTTGTTCACAACACGAGAAATAATAAAACATTTAACATGTACATGCCGTGCCTAACAGTCTCGTCATTTAACCGTTAACCTGCCACGTTATCATTATCAAATTTGAGGATATGAAAATGTAAACTTAAGTTTTTCAGCCAATAGTATAAGAGCCTGTTCAGACTGCACAGACATGCACCCTGGCCTGGCTCTATACCCGTGATAAGCACGCTGCCCTGAATAAAAGGCTAATAACTTTTGTTTCCAACAGGTTAAGGGTTAAACACACACAAAATATTACCAGAGTACCCACTATGTTATTTCTTATATCCATTATTTTAAGTATTTAACAAATCGCCAAGTGGCCTAGTTTATCAACTTTACCCATAATGCATCTGGAAAAAAAACATGAACTTTTTTGAAATTTTCTAATGACAAAAATGTTCAGCCCAAAAAAAGTTGAACTTTTTGTAAATTTTCTGAATGACAAAATTTTCAAACCCAACACAAAATTTTGAAGAAATATTACTTTTTACAAAATTTATTTACCAAAAAAAAAGCTGTTATGTACGTATATAGTTTGGGTTTTACATTTCCCAGTTTACATTTCCATATAAAGCAGGACTCCATATTTGTTTTTGGTATGTACATATTTTCTTAACCAGCTGTCGGCCAAGTTCTCAGGCTGATTAATTTAGATAGAAAAGCGCCACATGTTTGAATTTGTCATATTTTCTATTCAGCTCGCAACTCGGCTCTCAAAATCCGGGTTAAGATTCATTAAACACAAAAATCTTGATAGTCGACAGATAAAATGATAACATTTTAACTAGCTTTTTTTTTAAAAATTCATAATTAAAGATCACTTCTTGAACAACCCTAGTATAAAGAATACTGATTGGTCAATTTGAAAAAAAAGATCTACCAATCACATGCCATGGTTTTAAGGGAAGTCTCAACGTTTGTTTAATGATCTCAACTTTTGTTTAATGATGTACATGTATTTTGTTTTAAATGCAAATAACGTACTTTTATACAGAAGTTCAAAATAAGCTCATTTTTTGCAATATGTATACAGTGTTTTTTTGTTTTGTACATTACATTGTTCTGGATACATATACAAAACATCTGTCACAAGCAAAGGCATGTGTTTTTGTTTCTTAAAATCCCATCAAGTCATCTAACTAAATGGAACATTTTAATGAGATTTTCCCCGAGCTTTGTTGACAATATTTTAAATAAGAAGTACATTCGACAATTAAAAACATGTAGCAATTTCTAAAACAAGTTCAGCTTTCCATTTCATCATTTAGAGCCAACTACTAGCCATATATTTAATACAGAAAAGCCTTGAACTCTAACAAACAAGTCGGTTAAAAATGAAGTACATATCCTGCAATTTCCATGCTTGTCTTAAATATTGAATGCCATCCTAACCCTACCCTAACCCACCTCCCTAGTTCACTAATAAAAATTGGCATGCAGCACCTTTTTTTTTCTCCCCCCTTAAATTATATCAAACAAAAGTGGGTACATAATGTGTGTGGAGAAACCAACATATAAACATGTACATTTTAACAACACACAAAAGGTATAATATATAATAATATGCCATAACTGCATTGTGTACATTTTGCACACAACAATGACTGTTACAAAAAGAGGTCACAAATATGAGATAATGTAAATGTCTCCTGGATTACAGAAATCAAGATGAAGTCTGAATGATTAAAATGGGAGAGGAATTTTGATCATATTTCCAAATATAGCTTTTTTTTAAACAACTCTGGATAACTATTGCACAAAAATTGCCAGCAATTATTTTGTAACTCTATGTAAGCTTCTGGATAACTCAGATGGAATGCTACGAGCAATATGATTGGCTAATACAAAATTACAAGCTTAAATATGATTGGATATCTTTTCTGCAGCAAAATTCTATTTTTAGATGAAAACAAATTTCTCGAAATATTCTGTCAAAAAAGGTTAAAATCAAAATATGATAACCATAACTTTTTGTACACTTTCAAGGAAATGCTTTTTTTTTTAATTATTACAAAATGAGAAGAACCCTGCTGAATTTGATGAGAGATGATTTTGAAGTAGGACTGTTTCACAAACTTGAGAAGAATCTGACTGAAATCAGAACGAAAGATGAAAACACAAGAATAAGAATGTTGCGAAAGAATGTTTGAAGTTTCTGAGATTTTTATTTTTCCATAAATGACAATAACGAGAAAAAGGAAAAAGAAATACAAAATGGACACCTATCCATGTTCTTATATACATATATCAAATGTCATCATGGAATGATATTGTTCATGTCATGGAATGCCTTACTATAATGAAATGATTTCTGATTGGTTACCTTTTCGATCAATGAAAAATAAATAGATGAAAATTGGATCAAAACTGTAAAAAGAGGAGATAAATTGGGGTTTTTAACACACCTTCTTGCGTGTTTTTGGATTTCTTCAAAGTCCAAGGAGAAAAAAAAACAGTTTAAACGTGGCCAAAATAAGGCCTCATGAAGTATACAGAAAAATACCTGAATTGCACCGACAGACCTGTCAAATGTATGGATTTACATGAAACGATATTGTCATTCCCCCAAAAAAATATTCCGCAATACTTAAGACATGATGGCACTTAAAAGAAATGCTATGCTTAAACATCTAATACAAAGAATATACGTTGCCCAGTGATGTGAGAAAGCAATTCATTCATTTCCCACCTAAAGTCTGGATTTCCCGGCAATTAAAAATCTATTTCCTACACAAATATGATGTAAAATACCAGTATAATAATGATACCTATATCAAAAAGTTTTCCCTGTATACAAAAATCCCTTCAAAAGCTAAATAAAAAGTACTAATAATCAGTAAAAATGTAAGTTTTCAAAAGGGTAGAATCTAATTAATGAAATCTGGATTTCACTTTATTGGATTTTTTTGGGGGTAAACTAATCATCACTAAAAAAGGTCAACTTTCCAAAACGGAAATCTGGAATTCCTTCGATTTATACTAAATGGATTTGTTAATTAAAACTACCAAATATCATCCTTTTCCTTCATTTTTCATGGATTTCATTTCTTTTTAAGACAAAAAGCACAATATTTTTTCATAAATTAAATTCAGCACATCTTGCTATGAAATATACATAGTACAAATAACTTAATAACTTACATAAATTCATCAGATCCAACATAAAATGCAAAAGGGTTTAAAACAATCGAGTTCATTTGATCAATAATAATAACCCGACGGGGAAAGAAAAACTTGGCTATTTCTTCTACAAGAACAAAAAAAAGAAAGAAAATAAAAACAAAACAAAAAAGAACATTATAAATCAACGTTGTCAAATAAATAGGGTCACTAATCTGCTACCATTGTTGAGCTGAAGGCGTGCTACACATGATTCTTATAACATGCCGTACACGATTCTAAAAAACGTGCCGTACACGATTCTAAATCGTGCCATACACGATTCTTAAAACGTGCTGTACACGATTCTTAAAACGTGCTGTACACGATTCTAAAAAATGTGTCGTACACGATTCTAAAAAACGTGCCATACAACATTCTAAAAAACATGCTGCACGCGTATCTATAAAACAATAACCTTTACCTAAATAAAATTTTACACTGTTTAACATCAGTAAAAGGGGAATGTTGTATAAATAAAACATCAATATATACACAATTAGATTCAATTAATTACAGATCATCGTTTCAATATATATGTAATATTTAGATAACATTCATGAGACACTGTTGAAAAAAAAGAAAAAGTTTTGGTTATGCATCTAAACATATAATTCACAACATATCTACACGATGATTTTACAAGTCTATCATTTGTACAACAAATGATGTCACATAGCATAAATTATTTTCTATACACAGGTGAAAATTTCCTACTCTAATCCACGTTCACTCTTTTGCCGTACATAAAAAAAAGATCCGCAACGTACTTTTTTTTTTGTTCCACGTATAAGTAAAATTGCCTTAGAACACTGCATTTGAACACACGCCACCCTGAATCGTCAAGCAACATTCATTGTTTTTGTATCTAGTTTATTACGAAATCTGTTGCTTTATTTATATATTTTTTCGCGAACACTCACAGAGTTTGTTGATTTTTCTGTTGTTTACATACGAAACAACATGGTCACATGACATTATTTCAACTTTTCGGCATACCAGTAGGTGCACTTTCTCGGTTATCATTACCGTTGTCATCTCGCCATTTATCAACCGATCTCCGCCGTGCATTCATGAAAAAGTTCGCAACAGTCGTAACCTCCAGACCAAGTTGCTGGGCTATGGTAGCTTGCATTTCCTTTGAAGGTCGTTTGGTCTCCTTGAATATTGCATGCAGTGTGCGACGTTGAATGTCAGTAAATACAAGTCTTGGCTTTTTTGGCCCGCGGTTTTCCTGAGGGGTGGACATCTCCGATTCTTTTCTTTTCACTGCTGAAAGGAACGAGAAAATATTCAAATTTAGCAAAATCATTATTAAGTTTGTATTAAGATTCTTATATAAGTCTTTAATATTTACTGAAATTGAAAAAAATAGTTATCAGATATCACAATTTGCTAACTTTACACATTCACATAAATATCAAATTTGAAATATCTGTAACAGAAAATAACCTTCATAACCACAATTCTTGAATTCCGCAAATACTTGATAAAAGTAATATATTATATAGAAAACACTACAACACATAATATATAACCAGTTCAAATTACAAATTTAAATGTCACAAGAAGTCAAATCTATAACCCCTAGAGAGAGAACAAAAAATACGGGAATTTTATCTGGAATTTAATTAAGACATTTTTCAACATTGATCTCAAGTTTTGTAACATTATAAATTATAAATAAATCCCTTAAACTTTGAATGGACTGCCTCAAATTCAAAAGCTAGGCATATCCACAACACAAATTCAGAAGGTCAACATTTAAGTAAAGTAAGAGACAGTTTAAAGATTAAGTAAAGGAAAGACTATCATTATTCATAATGAATGGACTCCAATGACGAGGTCAAATTCGTATAAAATTCGTGTAATTTATGGGGGAAAACTTTTAAATTTATAACGATAAAACAAAGACCAGTGGCTTTATGACAGTAATCTTTTCTCCCCTGGTTGACAAATCCAGCCTATCAGTGGTGTCAAAAGCGAGACTAATTAATTTTCTACCTAACACCTGTGCTTCCCAGATTTTTCCCTTCATCAAGGTAGAAAGTGTTCCCACTCTATTACAAGTTACCATAGCACCTGGCCTTCTCATTCACGTTTAAACACATGTATACACATAGTTTAAAGTAAATTTAGAACTGTCCAAATTTTCATAATATTATAAGACTTAAATATGAAAATGCTAAAAAAGAGCAACTAAATGTATAATGCAAGTCTGGACTAACCAGCTGGCCTGATCTAAACTAGAGGGCCCGGGAACTCCTTCATTATGACAGCTAAGCATTTCAGAGAAGAAGCTGACATCTTATTAAACAACATTTTTTTTTTCAAACAAAAATATTTTCAGTCAGTAATTTTTTGTTTTATACAGTATTTCCATCCCAGTGATACTATTTTCAGCCCATAACTTTTGTTTCATATGAATTTCCGTTCTACAGTAGCAATCTAACGCTGAATGCAAATACAAGAGAATTATCATCGTACAGTAAATCCACGAGTACTTTAACCCTGTACGGGTCATATTTCTCATTCAATCCCTCCACAAATATGGTAATCCTTCTTTGTCTATGAATTGCTTATTTATTTATAAAAATGACGGTAAAATATTCATAAAGAAGATTTCGGTACCGTAAAATATAATCAACCCGGTACTAATGTATCATAAATAACTTAAAACATGAGCTTAAATCTCGTTCGAAATACGGAATCGACTTTATATAAAGTCGGACTAGTTTTTATTAAAATTCTTTCGGCAACAAAAACAAAATTAATGGAAAACTAATCATGCGGCACAAATATGTGCAGTTCTCGGTACAACAAAATACCCTTAACCGGATTTGAACACCTTTTGTAACAACACACACCATTGGTTACTTAAACTGAACAGTAGGAATACTGTAAATACATGTATACTCTCGTAATTGAGATTTGACCATTAAACATTTACCTACTTAATTGTTTTTGCGTTTAAGATTAAATATTACCTTAAAGAAAAAGGTGATAACATTAATAAGGCAACATTCGCAGATTAGTTTCAAGATCTCAGGCTGTTCACATTTTATACTGTTATAATGTTCCAAACAGCTGTTACGTTCACAATGGTAAAAAAAACAACATCGCATATCGCCATAGCAACTTACAACCATATGCATTATTCCACTGACCAAAATAAGAAAAATAATAATACATCTCATGTACGCATGTTTTTTTCCCCATGCTTTTTATACACACTTGTATATGGTGATAAAGTATGAAACATTAATTGTAAAATACAATAATACTGTTAAGCTTTCCTTTTTTATAGTAAACAGATTATGTTTTCGATTCTAAAACATGTCATTGTTAAAATTCAGATGTCTAAATCTCCGAGTAAACTAACCTTAGCATGAATGGCATTATTGCCATATAAGGCATGCCGATGTAAGGCAAATCTCGAGATTTTGGCAAAGACAATATATTGGAAACTTCTCTGCGAGTTAAATCTAATATGGTAACCAGCAGATGTCACAATCTCTATGTATCTGAATGTGCCTCCCTCCCGCAAGCAAAATATGTAAACATCCAATTTAATGAATATGCATTCTTAATGGCATACTCAATTTTCATTAAAAAAAATATGTTTGAGCCATGTTCTTTGACTGCAGAATTTTGTTGTGTTTAGAAAAGGACGTAAAAAGGAAAATCTGCTCCAAAAATATTTAGAACAAATTACACCAACCAGTATATATAACACACACTAACAGATTTATCATTAATGTTAAGGGCCAATCAAGATCAAGACAAACATTTATTTAAATAGAGAATAAAATCTTATCTTCTGATTGGTTATCAACGTTAATAAAAAAACTTGTATATTTTCTATACAACGAGAATGGACTTGTGACAATTTCGCCATACATTCATGTTGCCATAGTTACAAGGTTGATCACTATCTAAAGCTCTCAGTTCCTAACAAGAAAATTAAGTAAACTACCACTTTTTTTCATCCACATTATGGTTCTTAATGAAGGAAACCCGATAAAAAATATATCCCTTTACTACCTTTGAGTCATGAAGTATTTCTACATTTACCCTTTTACCCCCCTCTAAATATGTAAAATGGTTTTGTCCATCTTTCAATTTGGAATAAACCATCAATCATTTTTTTTATAGGGAATTTCGCTGAAATATAATCAAATTAGAAACTAAATGCTTTCAATATAAACTGATATTTTTAGAGCCGGATTAATCGAGAACAACCTGATTTTTATCCGAACATTATCAGCCGACTTCAGCCTCGGAAAACTGTTAAACGTATGTTATCTAATTGACTAAATTTGTTCATTGTTCCGAGCCTTTTAACGAAATTTAGTCTATTTTTGTCTCGCAAACATTTTCATTGCTATCGGCAATATATCTAGAATCTAGCTAAGTTTTTGATCATTATACTCCGATCATTTCAGTGCCATTGTCAATACATTTTCTCGAAAATCATACACGAATCCGTTTTGAAGCTGGATAAAATTACGACTGGATAAAATTACTGCCTGAATTTATGATAGCGTTATTTAGTGTTTAGGTGTTTATTCAGCAGCCGAGAGAAAGGACATGTGGTGACATGTTTCTTATAATCAGCTACAATTCCTTAGCAACGCGAGGCTGGTGAATGTCAGGCACTGAAGAACAGCATTCAATACAACTTGTACGTTGTATTTTTTCTCATTTCAAGTTGCAGTGAATGACGAAGAAAAGCAAAATACAAAATAAAACTGGTATTTCCATAGAAAACAGTAAAATATTACACATCTAACCTAAAAATTTACAATTGCTTCTTTATAACCAAAATTTTATATTGTGAAATTAAGAAAATATCACTTCCTTTATTTAATTTCTACTGGGAAAAAAAAATTATGACGTCTAAAAATGTTTCGAACAGAAAGAAATTACATTTTTGTCTTGTTAGCCTCGTCGGTGATTTAATTAAAATCTCAAACCATTAACAATCATTCCCTATTGAGGTCGTCAGTACAATGTTTACCTAATAATGTGACGGGAAAGCTGAATTATTCCACTCGAATCGCCCCGATACTTCCACAATTTTACGAGTGAACGAAATTACAGGGAATTTCAATCTCTTCTAACAATTGGTTGTTCTGGAAACGGAGCACAAATTCCCAAGAAGGGAGTTTATGAAAGGATGGCACTGAATACTATTCAATGTTATTAACGAATAAATGACCATGGTGAACTATAGGTGGTAAATGGAATAAAATAATATCATTCTTATATAAATAATCAAGGACTCAATGAATATATATCATATAGAAACTCTTCCTGTCAAAGCAAGACTTTACAGCAAGTTTTCTTTACCACACATGTATATTTATAACTACATAATTTTTTTTCCTACAATAGAATCTGCAATAAAACAAAAGTGCTTAGGACGTTTTGGGGGTTTAAGGCTATTAGCAATGACTTACAATTAATCATAAAGTTTGGTAAATCGATAATTTCCGTATAATGTCTTAACGCCAGTAAAACAAGAGAAGGTTCATGAAACATAAGCATGCCTATAATTACCATGCTATTATGCTAGGCCAACATGTCTTGGGACCCTCCAAGTGTAAAGAATATCATTTTTTATGAGCTTAGTATGCTTTGTTTAGATTAATGTGTCCGTGGGGACTGCAGAGCAAACACTCATAACTGATCGCTTATATTTGTAGAACTTGAGAACTGGAACATTGTTCTGAATAAACATTCATCTCAAATTTAATCAAGCAGGACTTTTTTTTTTTTTGAAAACTAGAGAATAAATCAGAACTTCCTGTAAGGCAAAAGGCATTATGGGAAGACCTAGAGAAAGGAAGTTGGGTTTTTTACAAAACTTCTGCAATGACTTTTAATGAAAACCCTTTTTCAAACCTCTAAAGAAAACATGTTTTTTAAGGCAAATTGCAAGAGAAACAGCCCACATTTCAAACTGCTATGCATATTCACCAGCACTTAAATAGCACAGCAAAGTACTACAGACGAAATGGGAAAGCAATAAATTTCTATTCAGTACGCTTAAGGGTACCATTCCTATTGTTCCCACAAATTTGCACAAGACTACATTGTCAAACTCTTCTCTATTTGGAATAAAACCGTGAAGAGCTCTCGTTTTGACGTAACAAATTTAAGTTCAATTAGCCGACGAGAATTCCCAAACAAGGCCGTTATTTCTTTTTTTTTAAAGACATTTCATACATTTCTTCAAGAGAAATTGTTTTATAAATGGTTATCCACTA